ACCTTCTTTTTTTTCCTCAAGAAGATTTTCATAGACCTACCATATTTGTTGAGAAAAGAGCACTAGTGATACTGATTGCAGGCAGTAAATATTACCAAGATATCTATAGTAAATTATTCTGATACTGGGAAATCTATTTCTAATTATGGTGAGCAGAGCTCGCATGCAGAGTTTCAATTAGCTTTATTGAAAATTCTTGTGCAGGTTCACATAATAGTTTTTCTTAAAAATCATAAAGCATCAAGAAATATTGTTCAGCAATTATACTCTACAAAGTGGTTTAGAGAAAATTGCTACTATGATACAACACAAAACACAGTATTAGAAACTATTTAACAGATTATTAACCAGCATGAAGTGTATTTCTATAATGTTATATAGTGAAGAATTTCACCTATTCCAACTGGAATGACATATAAAATTAATAGATCATTATGGATTCCAGTGCACTGAGAGTTAAAGATATTATAAAATATCTATAGCATAAACATAATTTTATGCCTTTACCTGTTAGTAATGATATTTCCTCTAAGAATGAATAATTTTATTTTCAAAATGTACTGCCATATTCTTGCTTCATCTGAACTAGAACAGTTCTCAACCTGTGGGTTGGGACCCCATTTGGGGTCGAACGACCATTTCACGGGGGTCGCCAAACAACGCAGTCCGCCATTTTTTTCCCCTTTTCCTTAGCTGTGCTACTCCCTTTTATTCTATTGGCTTTTGAAAGCCAATAGAATAGACTCTCTTGAATAGAGTCTAATTCTATTGGCTTTCAAAAGCCAATAGGAATTGTCCAGGCTGTCTCTGCCCTGCTGAGCCCGCCAAAAGTCCCATTCTGCAAACGGTGCTGCATCAGTTGAGTAGTCCTCGACTTACGACCGGTTGAGTAGTCCTCGACTTACAACCAGTTGGGGGTCACGGCATTAAAAAGGTTGAGAACCACTGAACTAGAAGATGCATTAAAAACTAAACTGACTGTTTTCTACAGCATTAGTTGATTTATAGTTTCCAAGAAAAAACTTTTGTCACTAAAATGAAATGATCAAAGATAAAAATTATCTATTTGAGAAAATTATGGATAAACATTGGTCTTGGATGTTCAATAGTATTTTCTTAATTTTCATCTAGTCGTATATTTACAGAGAAATAATTTGGAGAAAGCTTTAAGAGAAAGTCATGCTCATGTCTATGCTAGGGATAAATCAAATTCACTGAGACAGCTTTCTTAAAGATCAAATGGTCACGGATTGCTGAAAAGCTATCCCACCAAATTTTCAAAGAATTAATTTAATTATTTTTCCCTAAACATTTTACATTAACATTTGACCATACTAATAACAATTTAGAAAGTAGAGAGTATTTTGTGAAAATCCATTTGAATTTTTTTAAAAAATACTAAAAAACTCACTACTATATTTGATGAGAATGTTTATTCACAACCTTACGAATAGTGTTACTTTAAGACTAAAAATCTAGTATTTACTCAGTATATTACCCCACGATTTATAAAGAATTCATAATTATGCACCCCTATTAAACATTTACATTTTGAATATAGAGTACACGTAAAATATAATATATATTTTATGTGTTATCCTCAGTAGGATATATATATAATATAGTAGGATCCTCTCTCCATCCTATTGAGTCTCTCAGTGAAATTTTTGAAACAATGAGCAAAATCATTCAATTCATCAATGTGAATTGAAATATATCATTCTGCTGAAAGGATGCTCAGATCAATGGACCAGATAGATGACTTTTATGATATAATTTTATTAAATATTACTATTAAAAATAAAAACTAATACAAACCAAAAAATAAAAAATAGAGCAGAAAAGAAAGGAAAATAAGAATATAGTAAAGACAAAGAAAAGGAATATGCAAAGAAATGACTTCCCCCTAAATCACAAATATAAACAATTTTAGTAACTTGTCACCTGTTCTTGAATTATAACAAATGATCTCATTTCCATATCCCATCTTATCTATAAACAAATCCATAAAGGATCATCATTTCAGTCTTGCCTGGTATCAGCAAAGTCCATTAAAGGTTACCAGAGATAACAACATATTTATTTTAATCTTGATCAAATAAACCAACCCTTTCTTTTACTTTTAACAATACGGATTTTTAGTCCCTTCAAATCATGTTCTAGAAATGTATTTCTTTTAATTTTTCTTTGTCCCTTCTGACAATATTCTTCAAAGCCCCTTTTGCTAAATCCAATATAAAAAAAATTATCCAGGTCACTTTTTTGGTTCATTATTTGTACATTCTTTTAATTATTAAGACATCTCTTGTGTCTCGTATATAATCTTTCCCAAATCATTCTTGTATTCTGTCATTTTTAAATCCACTTTCACATCTATCTGTCTTGTCCAGAAAAACATGCTCCTCTTCCATGACATATTTTAAACATAGTCTTTCTATATAGACAGGCACTCTTAAAATTGACTTCTGGGTCCATTGTTCAAATATATCTCCAAACTTAAAATATAAATCTCTGCAATGTGCTCTACATGGGGCTACCCTTGAAAAGCAACTAGAAGCTCCAGCTGGTCCAAAATGCAGGAGGCCACATGGTTGGCAGTTGACAATAGTACTTTGTAGCACTCCAAAGAAAAATCTAAGGCTCTAAAGGTTATATTTAGTTAGTATCACTCTGCTTTTAAAAGATCAGTTCATTGATAGATTGGTTATAGGTATGATTTTGGAAACTGATTAGAAAAGGAAATATGTGATCCCAGTGTCCTTTTGAAGGGCGCTGACTACGGTTTGAATGAAAATGGCTTTCTTTTATCTCCCAGAGCTATAAATCTACTGGAGACCCGCTATCTTGCTGTCTCCTCACGAAGAGCAACTTGTGGGCAATCTCAAGCTCTCTCCTTGTCTGGAGAGAAATTACAAAAAGCCAGTCTACTCTCTGGCTCTTCATTCCACTATAGTCAGCAGTTCCACTTTTAGCAGAAGCTTCTTCAGTTCATTATTTCTTCTCAAGATGGGCAATTTGCTATCATAGATAGATTTAATGTGTTTCCATCTCTTTGGAACAGAATAAAATTGCCAGAATTGTGCAAGGAGAGATCAACAAAAATCATACTTGTAACTAATCTAGCAATAAAGTGGTATTTTATAAATGGAGTGATACCAATTAAAAATAAACCATAGAGCCTTAGGATGTTTCTTTTGGACTACTAAAGTACTAAATTAGCACTATGACAAATCTTTTGAGGTAATAAATTGGCATTAACTTGCTGAATTGTAATTAATGCTATGATTGACTGTATAATTTAAGAAAAAAAATCATATGTCTGTATGAATAATGAATTATTCAGTATAACAAACTTTCTGAAAATTCTGTAATTTGAAGCAAGGAAGATAGTATTACTTTTTTTGTTCTATCGCATTACTTGTCTGCTTTCTGAATATTTGGGGAAACAACTGAAAAAAATAACAGGTATGTCATGTTTCTTGTTAACAAAATGTTTGTTTCTTGTTAACAAAATACTATACATCTCTATCTGCAGCAGGATTTTCACAAATCAAAAATAATGCATTAACCAATATTTGTATACAGACATTCAGCGTAGAACAGGTAGTTCTCATTTAGCAACCATAACTGGGACCAGCAATTCAGTCGCTAAGTGACAGATCACTAAGTGGAAAATCAAAAGACTATGAATCTGGTTACAATTTTACTTCATTTTTCCTTTTTTCCCTCCACTCCCTGCTCATTTAATGTTCACCATGGTGTTGGAATAATTAGCAAGAAGTGAATTAATGTTTATCTTTACACTGATTGGAGAGGGAGGGATTACAAGAGAGCAAACAGGCACATAGTGGTGAATACTATGTAGCAATATGCTGGCTGTTAATAGGCTTCTCACAGGAGCTCCTTAGGAGGCAAACAAAATCCAAAGGCGTGGAAGAGATGCATGGAGGCTAATTAAAGTCATAGAATTGAGCTTGTTAACTTAGAACATAGAACCTTTGGGAGAAGCACTGTGCTGCAGTGGAGAAAAGCAGCTCAGGAAGAGATTGGTTAAGTAATCTCTGCTCTGGTGGGGGCAGAGAAAAATGGGTCAGACACAGAACAATGGGTACTAATTGACTTTAATGGAAAACTCAAGACTAAGGGAGGCAAACACATCACTGAAATGGGGATACTGCGAAAAGACATAAATGGGCATTGGTTGCAAAGTTATTTCCAAGTTTGTAAATATGGGCACTAGTTGCAAAGTAACTTTGAATGGTTGCTGTCCAAAGTAGTTGTTTAGTGAGGTATCCCACCCACCAGTCATTCCTGATCTCAAGGTAAATATAATAGAACATTACAAAGGACAATTGCATTGTGCAATAGTTGACCTAGAATTCATTAGAAATTCAGTACCATTTCTTAGAAATTAACAGAAAGGAATTGTTCTTACTAGAGCAAATACTGTATATTAAGCACTGTAGAAGAATGCCTTAGTGTTTGTTCTCAAAATTCAAGAAGGTCTTAGTGAATATGTATCGTCTGTGTGTCTATGTAGGTGCACATGCATCACAAACACATAGATATTGCTCTTTCCCCACCCCATTCTCAGGATTGTATTTCATGCATCTAGTGAAATGAATTATGACAGATGATATCTTACACTAAAGCAAATGGTTAATCTTTAAAGTGCCACAAGACAGTTTGTGGAATTTCATAGTATTCTAAGATATTTATTCTAAAACATCTGAATCTTCCAAACATTTAAGAATATGTAATATATATATATTTATAATATATAACTGAGAGGTAATGAAAATATGTAATCTTAAATATTTCATATTAACAGGGCATGCTATCTTTTGCAGAAATAAGGAAAACTTTACTATCAAAAATATTCTATTTTAAGTAGAATATTTTTGATAGCAACCTAAGCATTCTTCTGTAGCATAAATTGATTACTTTTAAAATTTATCACATGATTTTAATACAGTAACAATCAAATTCATGCAACTTACTCCTACAGGCTGAAAAATTAGTCCATCCACTTCATGAGAGACTTCTCTTGCAAAATTTCCCTCAAGAAGCTGCAAGAAGCATCAAATGATTGTTAGCAATTATAATTAAGAAGTAAAACAACCCTGACATACAGAAGAAAAATATCTAAACATCTATGCTTATTTAGTTATGGTATTTATATGCCACATAACTCCCCTCAAGATTATACAATGCATTTTTGGAAAGAATTAGCTTCAAATGTCTATTAATTAATCGCTTAAAAAGCAGATGGTATTAGGAGATAAACACTGCAATAAAACAGTAAACACATGTTTTAATGTTCATGAATTGAAGTCTGCATTGCAGAAGACATGAGGCCAGTTGAGATGTAACAGTCCTTGCCTTTTTTTGTGCCCATGTTTTATCCTTGCTTCTCCCACACTAATTTCTAATTCATACCAATAGTGCCTCTAGGCATTATTAGACAGCATCGTTTTAAATGCTTCCAAGTATAAGTATGGAAGTCATTTTACATGTGGCCATATTACGTTTTACTCATTCTATGTGAATGAATTCTGAATTCTGCAATTCAACTGCAGAAAATAAAAAATAATCCAACTGAGTTAGGGGCTGAGGCTTGAGCCACCCATTCCTCAAACATGACCATGAGATTAGATTAGCCACAGTTTATTCAGGTTAAGACACAACTAAACTATTGTGAGTCAAAAGTGAAAGCTGCCAGAGAGAGGGGACATAAGCATTTTACAATAAAATTTTTGTTGCTGTTGTTGTTGTTCCTAGTGTTTTTCTGCAAGTGTAAGGTTTGCTTTTATCAGATCAACCCAGTACTGATTCATTTGGTTGGAATTGACCAACCAACTTATTGCCTAAGTCTGACATTGTGGTCTGAGAGACAGCAACTGAGAGAGAGCAGGCTTTCATGAGTAAGGTAGACTAAAACTCAATCTCCTGGTTTCTACCCTGGAGCCTTAACGACTGGACCAAACTGGCTCCCACCAAGGTAAGCAATATAACTTTAGGTATAATCAGGGGTGTCAAACTCAATTTCACTGAGGGCTGCATCAGCATTGCGGTTGCCCTTGGGGGGCTGGGTGGGCATGGCCAGAGTGGGTGCAGCCTACTGGGTGGGCGTGGCCAGTTCTACATCATTCGCATCAAGGGTGCCTGTGGGGGCCTGGGCAGAAATGGGACAGATCTCTGGCAGAAGGGGATGGGACCAGGGCAAGTGCCAAGGCATGGTCCACCAGGGCAAGTGCCAAGATGGCCACCACAAAATTGTACACTGGCTCCCGGCTAGCCTGGACCAGGGCCAAGGCAGTGGGGGCCGTTCCCTCACTGTTTCCAGGATGGCTTCGCGGGCCACATGAAACCACTTCGCAGGCCGCATCCAGCCCCCGGGCCTTGTGTTTGACATGTCTGGTATAGATTAATATAACTATGTTTATCATTATGCCAATAAGATCTCCCTTTTGCAGGCTTATTTTGTTTTGAATAGTCTTTGTAGGACCACTTTTCCCCAGATATTTTTTTTTCTTAACCTTTTCCATTTCCTTATGAAAGCCAATGAATTTATATCTGAAGTTGTTATAAATCCTTAACATTTTTTTAAGGTAAACATCGATTTCTTCTATTAGTTGGGTTATCATGTATGAATGAGGAAGTCCTAAGAATGTTAGAAGTGAAATCTACTGGTATGTACTTGCTATAAAAAGCTGCTCTAAATTTAAATCAAATAAAATCTCTTTTTTGTTAAAACTACTGGTCTACTATGTTTATTCTGCCTAACTATTAATATGAAAGACATTACACTACTTAAAAAGAATAAACGTGAGTTCAAAAATCCATTCTTTTTCAGACCATAGTATTAGAGCAAACATCAAATAAGTATCTTCTGATTAACCTATATTAAAACTGCTAACAATAATGGAAGTTTTAATTAAATGAATTGATGGCAGACGTAAGAATGAGAATGCTGTTATACTAATATTTTTTGTACAATTTGGATAATACAACATGAATTACTTATAATTACAAAAAAGGATAGCCACGTATATCATATATATGGGGGACAGATAATATAATCAGCCAATACAAAATACACATAACATTATAGAGCAAAATATATTAAAACAGTTGTTGAAGACAACAGTAATGTGTTGCTAATTTCACAGGTTTTATTTTTACTTTTCATCTACTAGTGCATATAATCAAAGGCTATTTATTGTTCCAGAGTTAAGGATTTTTAAATAAAATACTGTTTTTACCATGAAAAAATAAAACTGAGTATAATCAAAACAAATTCCATTCTGAATTATATTAAGAAAACTTAGTCAAGACCACATCTGCGCACATGTGTGTGTGTGCAGGCATTAGATACACAGACATACCACATTCTGGTATTCATGCCCAGGCTAACTTTTTCCAAAATGTATTTCACAATAAAAGCATAACTCTCTAATTAGTCTGATAAAATTAAGTTTAATTTAATTGGGAAGGGGGGGAAAAGTGATTTTGCACAACATTGTACTACTATGGGAAAAGGACCTGTTTTGGGTCATAGCAGAATTAGTATGTAGAAAACAAGGTGCAAAGCTAGACCACTTCCTGAGATATAAGAGTAGATGGAAATATCTAGGAGTTCCATCATTGGTATAATATATTAAGACCCAAACTGTTTGGAACAGTGAAAAAATGTCTAGCACAATCCTCATACGTTACACAAATTAAATTAAATACAGCTGTGAATAAATTCTCAACAATTACAACAGGAATATTTTAAAAATGGCTGATTTTAGATTCAGCATAAAGCACAGAAACATATGTAATGTTTGGATAGCCAATTTGGGGTGACTTTTTTAATACATAAAAAAGCAGTCTTCAGGCTCATAATGATGCATGTACATATTTGCCTGGAGGGAAATAAACAAGATTATAATTAATTGTATAGAGGTAAAAAGAAAAAAAGGTATCACTCAATTCCAAACTGATTCTGGGTGGTAAAATAAACCAAAACAATACAACCAACAGAATAAAAACAAAACATAATTATGAAAATGAAGAAATAAAAGAAATAAACAAGAACTGATGGAAGATCTGTATAACCACACCCACAATCAATCTGGCAGGAGCCTCTAACACCCTAAGCCAGGGGTAGGCAGCCTTGGCTCTTTTATGACTCGTGGACTTCAACTCCCAGAATTCCTGAGCCAGGTTGAAGTCCATAAAAGAGCCAAGGTAGCCTACCCCTGCCCTAAGCCTTTAAAGCTTTCCAGATTGCCTACAGAGTGGAAGCCACATGGAGAATCTTATTTCAGAGGGCAGGCACTGTGACAGAGAAGGGGTGGAGTCTGTCTGTTTCTGGCGCCCAAATATGACATTGTTTAACTGAAAGGACCCAGAATGACCAGCTCTGTCCGACTGAACAAACCAGGCTGATTCCAAAGGAGATAGGCTTTCCCTCATGTAATTAGGCCCAATGCCACAAAGGGTTTTATAGGTTATAACCAGCACCTTGCATTTCTCTCAGAAGCATACTGGTGTCACATAGGCACATAAAGATCTGCCTATTATTGCTGACAACACTAAATTCTGGACCAATTGAAGCTTCTGAGTGGGCTTCAAGGACAGCCATACGCAAGGTGAATTACAACAATTACACAATGAAGTGACTAGGACATTAGTGGCTGTCTGAAGTACCTTCCAATCTAGAAAAGTGGACAATTGGCATACTGGATGAAACTATGCAAAGGCCTTTCTAGCCAAAGTAACCACCTGTATCGACTGCACACCACTCTAAAACCATTTCTTTATCTGCTCATGCTTTTAATATAATAAATCAGACTGGCTAATGAAGAGGAGAGAGATTCACTGTGCAAAACTCTAAAGATATTATCACCAACTATAAATTAATAACATAATTGGGTTTTTTTTTCAAAAAGAAAAAGCAGTATGATACTGTTGCTTGCTAATAGCATCAGCTCACTAATTACTATCCATGATTCATTTGTAGCATTCCAAGCCTGATTAATGTCAGGTCAAGTTTAACATATGACAAGGTTTATTACTAATGTTTTGCTATCCCACAGCTTGACAGTCTTTCACAGTGAGCGCCATCTGTTACATAAGGGAATAAAAGTCAGAGCACTGCTAACTCTGAACTGTTCTAGGTCACTACGGTATGTTTTCAAAGCTGTCCAGGGCAATTAGGCTAATAATATTTGGTAGTAATTACTAACTTTAAAAGCTACTCATATTATCATATACTTTATTTCTTTTGTAGCAATACTCATATAACATGGCCTTAAAACAATATTACTAATCATCCGTATCTTATAACTGTCAGGCAATTATAATGTGCTACACAGAGTTAAGTTTTACAATCAGCAATTAATCGTAAATTCAAGTCACAAAACTGGAAACAGTGCAGCAATACCCATGGCTCATTAAATTTGAACCCAAGGTAAAATACTCTATGCCCAATACATCACCACCTATGGATACTCCAGCCTTTGAGTTTACATCTCAAAAACCTATTACAAGTTAGTCTTCAGTTAACAAACCTAGTTAGGATTGGAATCTCCATTGCTAAGCTATGCTGTATTAAACGAAATATTACAGGACCACACTGCTTAGCAACAGAAGTTCTGGTTGCAGTCATTAAGTGAGGCCCTCATGCTTCTTATGCCTTATCCTGCTTGTCTCTGCTTCAATTTCTCCCACCAGCCTATGGGCACTCTCATCTTTGCCCTTTTGTCCTCCCTGCACTCCGCCACCTATCTTAACTGCCCCCACCATCCACTTTGCAGTCTTCTTTCTCCCACTGCTGAGGGGGCATTCCCAGCTGAGGCAATGCTGGCCCTTTGTGTGGCTTTCCAAAGTAATGTTGGAGTGGACACATGAGGGTCTCATAAAAGACAACAGCTGCCTCAGTCCAATGTGTCTCATCAGCAGTGGGAAGAAAAAGAACTCACTTGGAGTGAAAGATGTAGACGACAGAGCGCAAGGTGGCCAAAAAGCAATGGATGGGAGGAGATAGATAGATAGATAGATAGATAGATAGATAGATAGA